AAAAAAGAGAGAGGAAAAAAGAGAGAGGAAAAAAGAGAGAGGAAAAAAGAGAGAGGAAAAAAGAGAGAGGAAAAAGATGGCACTTATTTGGAAGCTTAACTTTTAAACCTCACTTTTAAAAAATTATCATCGCTTGTGTCATTACAGTTAAAGGACTGAAGGAGACTCCCTTTGGAGTCCATCTGTGCCACTCTTAATAGGCTGCGGGAATACCTGCTGAAAACAGACGGGCACTGCCTCTCTTCCAAGCATGAGCACATCTTCCCCACCACGGTATCCCCAGCCTTTCTGAGCATGGGGAACAAGAGAACGCAGCCAAATTACAGCCAATTTTCTGGAATTCAGTGCCAATATGTATATGTGCACTCCTCAAATATCTACATTATAGGATGAATGGTGTAACTTCCACACATTTAAACTGCAACCTAAAATGTTGCGTTTCTCAAACTGATGAACCATTGCTCTTTACACTTCAAGCTTTGCTAACTTAGAGCAAAAACTCTGTACACTCCTTTTTTTAATCAAAAAACACTACCATTCACATGATGGTGCACAACTGATGGGCAGACTAAACAAAACATGAAAAGCAGCAAAGTTTCATYTTCTTACTTGAGCACAGGAAGTAGATTTCTCAAGAAGATCTCCAAGGAAATCCTGGAGGGAAAAAAAAAAAGCATTTACTGCATTAGAGTCATTACTTGGAAAGGCAGTGCATCATCTACCATAATCACAAGAAACTGAGGGCAGTTTTAAGTGAGGCGGTATCTTTGATCCACCACTGCTCCCACCATCACTGAAACCTGAAAAAATACACAAACCCATTGTATGCATCCTCAGAAAACTGAAATACAGTTAATTAAGAAACAGAATTTTGCCTTTTGATCCTTCTAATACTTCTGCCTCACAGATATGGATAGACAGCGATAAGAGAATGAAGTGCTTATGTCACTGTTGCTCAAGGCATTATTTTCTGTAACCTTTCCCTCCCACGGTGCTGGGAGAGCTTGCAGCTCCTGTCTGTCATCACTACGTATTATCCTCCACATACACATGCTGCTACTTACAAATAAGGAACGCGGTTGACCTGGCAACAGGATGCTCATTTCCTAATTTATCCACCATTTCTTTTAATAACATTAGTCTCGGCTAAGTAGAGAACTGTTCTAGCATTGCACTACTTTGCATGTGTCTAGTTGCAGCAAGTACAGACAGCAATCCCCAAACCACTCGGTATTCCAAGACAAACTTCACGATCAGGAATGTGCTTCTATCAAACTGAAAAATAGACCATTGCAATCCAACCCCTCTGTTTAACATTTATAACTCAGTACTATTTTGTGACCTTATTTCCCCCATGTGCTTATTAGAATCAGAAGTACTGAAAATTACAYCCCGCAATGAAGCTTCAAGGCAAGTAAAGGCCTTGTAAAAGGAAAGARAAAAAGGAAACTGGGCTAGGAAAAGCAATGGATGTATCCAGGACAGAGCTATGCCTGACAAATCTCTGATCAGTACAAAGGTCCACAGCATCCATAAAGAAAGGAAAACTTATTCCTTCTCTCCCAAGCCTTGAAAAATGAGAGGAGCGTTGATATCTGAAAGTTTTGACTCAGGATATCTCCTTGGAGGGAAACTTATGAGGCCTTGATTTTTAGAGAGGATGATCCACATCATCTGAAATTTAAGTCTGTATTTTAAAAAACTCCTGCAATATATAGGTAAATAGCAAGGTAAGCTAACGTTGCCATTGTACTGTGCTGTTTGTTTTGCTCATATCTTTATCTGTTCCTCTGTCCCTTTTGTACATGATCTCATTCAAATCCCCATATGACTCAACAGTCTCTGTGCAAAAGCAGCAAAATAACTCAGTTTCAGCACAACTCAGTCTGCACCAAGCCTTGAGCTCAGTTTCTCCAAATCACCAGGACTAGAGGTAAGCTCTGCACCACAGAGCTTATGCCACCCTACTCACAAGACATTTAAACCTTTGCAGTATTCCTCTGCAAGATTTTGTCAGCATAAGCTTATACTGCACRACTCTCCTCTTCTTAAAAAGGAGCCTGCGATGTCCAAAGCAGGTGGGAGCTGCTGACGTGGGTGCATAACAGTTGCCTACAGTGCACAGCTTGTATCTAACTTCATGAAGTATTTTGTGGCAGAAAAAAAAAWCTATTATTTATTTTGTACAATTAGAATAGCCATTCTATTTTTTTTTCTCTTTTTTACTCCACCCACCTGCCCTTTCCAGCTAAATCAGGCTGTCTAGCATATTTCCAACATACATGGCAAGGAACTCTAAAAGCCAACATTACATTTTTCTCTAAATAGAAACATTTAACCACCAGGTTTTTGTAAAAGAAGTGTATTAAAAGACAGCTATTCTGAAGGAAGTGATTGCCTGCAAAAACTGGAATACAGCCAAAAAGCTACAGTACACAAAGGCTTTAATGGCTTTGAAATGCTTGGTACTCTGTGGTGAAATTAGTTAACAGACTAATCTTTGCTCTTGAAGGGGCTGCATTCAAAAAGCTGCAGGTGCAAAACCTTAGTAAACGAGAATACTTGTCCACACCTGGAGACCTGTGCCCAGCACACAGGTGGATGAGCACCACGCAGTGCGGTGTCTGTGAGTCAGGATTTCCCGCAGCACGGGCAGCACTCTGCGATGAGCCTGGACCCCATCAGCTCATGCTACCGCCTGCCTTTCGACTGCAGCGTCTGCTCTTCTCACAGATAATGATTGAGTTTGATGGCTATATCCTCCAGAGCTTCAGCCCTCCAGCACTGCTTCACACCTGAGCAGGCCTGAGTACAGAATGCTTCCACTTCTGTTTGGTAGCAGTTAGACTACAGGCTTTACAGGGTATAAACAAAATGCAAGATAGCAAAGGTTCAAGCTCTGTATGTAGAGACTCTGTGGCAACTACATTTAAAAAAKAAATCATTTTTATTAGCAGTTCTACTTGTACCTATCTACAAGATTACCCTCTGGCGCCCTTACTACACAGAGTGTTCCCCCCTCGCCTCCATAAGGCATGATGTTAGCAAAAAGTTTAAAAAAAAAACAACAAAAAAAAACCAAACAAAAAAACCCACTATTATTAAAAAAAAATCTTGAAACAGAAAGTATATATAGCTGGTAAGACCTTACCAACATTTATCAACAGAACAAGAATTTACTGACTTGTAAGAATTCAGCCAAAATGTCCAGAGTACACAGAAATGGTTAATTGAAAAGAAAAATCTAACTGGCAATTACAGGACCAGTCCTAATCTTGTTTCATACAGAACTGCTGTCAAATCATTTTCTACTAGCATGAACAACAATATTTCAGTCAGGTTTTTGTCAGTACAGAAGCAAGTTTTTAGCATCAAAAAAAAAAAAAAAAAAAAAAAAAAAAAAAAAAAAAAAAAAAAGAAACTTGCAGATACACAGCCATTCATTTCTGGGAAGAAGAAAGTTCTCCCAGAACAGAGAATGTTCTTCTCTGTACAGAACTGATGCAGGACATATTTGCACAAAATGTCTGTAAATACTGTTGGGACCTAATAACGTCATATATTGCTAAAATTACAAAAATGTTTGACCAGACATCTCTAGTGCTTTCCTAAGGTTAGGCTGATGTTGAGACTTTCTGTTCAGCACCTTTGCTGTCAGCTCAGCAGCAGCCAATGTTAGCACTGAGGCACAAAAATGCCTCTATATTCAGCTGACTCAGGTAAGAAGGCAGGGCGTGTAGAAAAGCCTGGAGGGCTTCCTTACAGGCAAGACAGTTCCCTGGATATATTACTTGCCAGCAGAAGCACCTGTGGGGCTAGACCTAGGACAACAGTTTCAGTTTCCCCTACATGGTCAGGTCCCTTCTGTCCTTGAGCACCTCACAGGGTGCGCTTACCTGCCATGCAGATAGCCCTGCACAGCTCTGCTTTTTCTATACACCCCATCTGTGGSCTGCTCCTAAGAAGTCCCTGGATTCCTGATGTCAGGCTAGTTGGGACTCATAAGCTACCTGGACTAGGCCAAAACTCTTGCTGCATCCCACGGACAAACTGGATAGTGGACGCTAACCCAGGCGCACTTGCTGTGAAACTATGCGAATGCCTCTGGTGGGTCCAACACATTCAGCTCTGCCTTTGCCTAGGGAGATCTCTGTCCTCTCGGCTGGGCACTCTGAGCAAGGGTGGAGTTGCTGGTGCCACCCTGGAGAAGTGGGAGAGAAAGCTGGTCATGGGAAACACGCATCTCTGCTAGGCTAGGATCAGTAATTTATRCACGCTTACCTCCTTCCACATGTCCCAAGAGAAACTGTAGGACAGGGCTCAAGTGTTTTCTGTTAGCTCCAGTGGGGGGTATTCTGATGCTCTAGAGCTGCAGCTTCTGACAAATTATTGAACATTGCATCCTGAATGTGGAGCTTGTAAGGACAGRCAGAGACCATCTCCAAAACCTTGTGAAAGAGTCTCTAGCATTTATTTATCCCAGAAGATGGTATTTTTAATAACTATAATATCTGTAGAAGGAACAGATGAACTAAAAGGTTTAATGGCTGACTTCCATTTTACTATGTTCCACAGGGACCGGGTGCTTTGATATCTTCTATCTACATTTCTGCTGAAGGTGGTTTCAGATTTCCATTTCAATCAATCCACCTCTTTTATCAGCGTTCTTTCCAAAGCCACATCCATTATATGGGAAAGCCAGATTACATAAATTTGATTTTAAGACATTAAATCACTGCATAGGAAAGACAGTCCTCTAGGAAGTCACYTGGACTATTCTATAGCATTAGTAACAGACTAGTTTGTAATCCTAAATATCTGTCTATATATTCTTTTTTTCTTCCAAATTAAATGCACTTTGCAGATAGGTTGCAACCAGAGGCTTAGGGCAGATTTGTGCAACGTTTTTGTTAGGGAAATGAACATCTTGGTATTCTCTGTGCAGCTTTGGATTTGAAATGTCTCTAGAGGGCCTCTTTGGAAGGGTAGTCATTGTTTAATTAGCATTATTCTCAAACAGTATCTAAAGTTAAAGATCCAGAAGTAGATACATATCCAAGAAATTCTCCAAAGAAAGAGATACCTACCAGTAACTGATTATGCAGATGCTCTCAGAATCACTCACCCTCCCACACTTCAGCTTCTTCAGAGACTTTCTTCATTTGAATTAGCAAAAACAAATGCAAAGCAGGCAGGGCTGTGTGCTCTTCTGTTTCTGTGCTTAAAAAGTAAAACCCAGAGGCCCCAGAAAAGCACTTTCCTTTCCAGATCATAAGCTCAGCACTTACATGTGCACACTTAAGAACACAGACAGGTGAAACGCATTCTGAAAATGGTAATATTCTTACCTATGAAAGGTTATTATGGTCCTAGCTCAAGCATGCACACAGCTGGGTACCAAATCTGCCACGTACCCGCAGCTGCTCAGGCCTCTGGGCTGATCAGGATGGTTATTTGGGTGCCTACACATGGATGTGCCTAAGCCAGAGCTGAGGTGTCCTTGCAAGCACAGGGAGATTTCACAGCCTCTTAAGGAAACCAGCCACCTTCCCCGGTGCACTGTGACATGTGTCACGCACTCAGCCCATAGCTGCTGCATTATGGAAGGGAATACGGACAGCAAGAGGCAGAAGCAACAATTTAGTAGGGAGATTT